GCCGCAGGTACACAAAGGCACACACACACACACACACACACACACACACACACACACACACACACACACACACACACACACACACACACACACACACACACACACACACACTCACTCACTGAAGTGTGCACACATACAGACTCTTCCCCAGGCTTTCCACCCAGCCTCTTTGTCAACAGATATAAGAAAGGCAGGAAGGCATTGCTTAAATCTCAGGAACAAACATTGAAACATGAGTTTGCAAACCAAGTTGGACTGAGTTTTTTTATAGTATTTAAAGTGATTTTTCTTTCCTTGTCTTGAGGTTAATAGAAAGTGAATAAAAAAATAATTAAACCTTAAATACAGAATACAGTATTGATTAAGCATTGTTGTGCACATCACAAAACACCATGACCAGAACAATTTGATATATTTTGATCATATCATTTGATATTCTTTTTATCATCAAATGTATTTTTGCACTGAGCAATTAATATAACTTAAATCAGGTTTTAACCACTTTGTTTTGCTCTTATCTTCTGTTTGCTTTGTAATCAGAAGTTGTTGATGATGATGATGATGATGATGATGATGATGATGATGATGATGATGATGATGATGATGATGATGATGATGATGATGTAGCATTTTTGTCTCCCCTCACTCTATAAAACCAAACTTGATTGAACTGTTCTTAATTCAGCTTGTTAGGGCTGGGCATCATTTGACAATGCTTCTTCATGCCATGATACTTGTCCATGTTTGCCAGCTAGCTAGCCGGCTAATTAGCCAAGCTAAGCAGAAGCAGTTTGTTGCACTTCCGAATCTAGTGACATCAAAATAATATTAGTTATATTGGCCCAAATAAACATTGTTTGGGCACTTGTATTTTAACAATACATCACAGTTGTATAATTCATTGCAAGTTGTGTTGCCGTCCATCTGTATGAATGCCATGGATCCCACTTTATTAACAAATGCATATCTGGCCACAATGCACCCCACACATTGGTTAAAGTGTCCATGTTATACCAGTGTTAACTAATGTGGCTTTGAGCTGCTTGTCTTAAGCAGAGAGGAGCAGCAACAGTGGTCTGGTTCAAAAACAAAAATCAATGCCTCGAGTGACATCACCAAGGCTTTTGATGTTATAGAAATTAACATCATAATGACGACTTCAGCTTCATCGCCACCTCCCCGACTTTGTGTTTTACATGTAGCCTGGCTTGTGGCATGCGTGACTCCCTGCTGCTGACAGGTTGATCTGTGCTGGCATTTATTGATGTGGCCCAAAGCCCAGCCCTGAGCTGCTCTTTGAAATAGTGTCGTCTGGGATGGAGGGGTTGAGGGTGGAGTGGTGGTTGGTAGGAGATAAGCCAACGTTGCACACGAGTGCTTTGTTTATGATGAAGTGGTCTAGGCAATTACATTAGAGGCACAATGAGAGCCCTCGTGTCCCTCTCTCAGTCTCTCCCTCTCTCAGACTCTTTGTCACTCCGCTCACACCCACAGTACCTCATGAAATCACATCCAGCAAAAAAAATGCTAGGAGACACCTTTCCAACCATATCTGACCAGCAGTCAAGGACGGGAGCTTTTGTGCCTTTAATAATGCCTCCCGGCTCACAGAAAGAGAGAGGAAGATTTATGACGTGACACCAGTCAGCCCCCAGCACCTGCACACAACATCCCTCTGTCGAGAGTCGGTTCACTCTTTATTGGTGGCTGTGATTTAGGAGGAGTAATTGACTGGAAATGGACTGGTGCAGGAGAGATGCTTTACGGTGTGAGTGTCGCCTGACTGCACACGATTCTCACTTGATGAACATGAGAAATGGCGTTAAGAGGAAAGCAAAAAATAATCTCACTATAAAAGGAAGTAATTAAATGGCATTTTGTGTCTTTCAATGTCTTCTTTGCAGAGGAACAAGTGAAATTAGTTCAACCCACTGGCACATTTCATCATTTTTTTTTTTGCCAGAGAGAGGGTGAAAACAGATTTAAAGCACTACATTTAATTACCTTTAAAGATAAAGATATGCAATATGATCACTGAAGAATGTAATCCCCCTGCAGGACTGTGTCTGACGTGTTCATTCTTTATCTTAAACGACGACTGCAACACTACTTACTTAAATGTAATATATTCTCTTAGCACATCATGCTTGTTATTCCTTTTGCGTGAGATGTTCATTTTGAAAAGTTATGGCAATAACAAGAAAAACATGTATCGATGCATTATGAAAGCAAACATATCAAGCTGTTTTT